CCCCCCCTGACTCCATGGTTTTATCTCCTGAATAATAATAGTAATAATAATAATAATAATAATTGTCAGTACTTTCAACTGTATAGAAACCGACCCCAGTCTTTGACCTTTGACCTCTGGGTCTGAATCCTCTGACGTTCTAAAAAGTGCGCCCGTGTTCGTCGACGTGGACTAATGAAGGATTCTATTTTTATTCTGAACAGTCAACAGTGCGCGGTGATTCTCTGAGAAATCTGTTTCATGTCACGGCTTAACTTTTTTTAAATGTTTTTTTTTTTATGTTTTTTTTTTGTGCTCTGTGTAAAACCAGTTTTCCTTCTGCGTTCTTTCGAGGTTCTTTCGTGAGCAGAGACTTCCTGTGGAAAAGCATGGCAGTTGTCGTTGAATGTTGTGTTCACGTGTGTGTCGGTGGTTTTGCCGTTGTTATTATTGTTGGACTGTGTTCTCCCGTGGCCCCGCCTTTGTTGTTGTACAGATGCTAACGCGGCGACGGTCGCGTTGTTAAAATCTCCTGTGGAAAAAAAAAAAAGCACAGTCGTCCCCCGTCCCTCCCCCGTCCCGTTGCGAAGTTCTCTCAGGTCGTTCCAGCGTCAGGAGTCTCTCAGAGTTTGTTTTCAGGGAGTTGGATAAATATCGGCCGTCTGATCCTTACTCTTTGCTGCCCCCTAGAAGTTCACTTTCTGTATTACAGCAAATAGTAAAAACCCGTGTTTTCTTTCACAGAAAAAGACAGTCATCTAGTTTTCTTACATGTTCTAGATCAGTGATTATCAACTGGTGGCTCTTGGGCCGAATCTGGCCCACCAAACCATCCAATCTGGCCGCAACTGATTCCAGAATTGTTAAAAAAATCCCAACATTTCATTATTTTAATGTCCAGTCACCAAGGTGTCTGTCCAGAAAACATTCGGACCCTTTGGGAAAAAAAAGTTTATTTAAGTAATTTAATTTAAAAAAAAATGTGCAGACAGTATTTTTTTTTGTTTGTTTGTTTTTTTTGTCCGTTGAGATACGACTCAAAACAGTGGCTACAAAATAATGTGACGTCTGTAAGGTTTTCAGCAAGAGCAGAAAAAAATAATTAATCTGCCTTTACTGACTGCTGTGTTGCAGTGACTTGTTCATGTTGCGCGGCACTTGTGATGATATTTTGAGCATGTGAATGGGAGAAAAGTGCAGTCTCTACAGTCTGTCTGTGTAATTTGGACCAAACGGACCTCGAACGACAGCACGTTACGACGTCTGTCCACGTACGGCCGGTCAGTTGGTCCAGGTATGGAAAAAAAAAAACTTTAAATTGACGACAACAACAACAACCACAACTAACCTTTCCTGTAATGTTGACATATCAGACGTCTGTACGATCAAAAACATTAAAATAATCGTGGTTTATTTTCATCTCTCAGTGTTGAGGTTCGCAGATAAAAACTGACAAAACACAACGTTGAATTTTACGCTAGATTGTAACTTTAACCTCCCCCCGCCCCCCAGTTTTAGTCTCTATTGCTCAGCCATTTTACAGTCACCTTTTGAACCTATGCAACACCCCCCCCCCCCCCCCCCCCCCCCCCCCCCCCCCCCCCCCCC